GTAGACCATTTTTCTGAATCATTTGAACTTCATTTTTAGATTCTGTAACAAGATGTGGCTGTGAGTCACTTGAGTTGGGATAGTATACCTGAAATCAGCTGCATCTCCCTCATCCTCACTTGAGGATTCTTTGTGTAAAGGGAGTCAGAGTGCAGAGAACAGCCCTGAATTGCAGATTTCTCTGGTCAACGTGTTTATTCAATTCAAATCATTTTATTTTGTTCAGCTTTGCAATCTGTAAACATGCAACATCCTGTCCCAAAACCCCCAAAATGTAAAAAACCTTCAACCAGGAGAAACCCGAGGAGAAAACAGCAAGGCAGTAGGTGTGTAGAGTATGAACAATTTAAAGATGTACAGTACATCCAATTCCTACGACAGAAATGATTCTAATATTGTGGATTATTAAGACAGGGGTAAGGCAGGACCAGTGCAGGGACAACCATCATCAGACGTAACCTCCATCAGATGCAACCACCACCCGCAGAAACCTGTGAGGAGGGAAAGCACAAAGGCAAAGTTGGTAATTTGGGTTTATGATGACAGTAATAAACTAATAATAATAATAACAGCAGGTGCGTTAGAACACTCATTTATAGATGGTTTACTTATTACATTATAAACAAGATAACAATTCATCTGCAACTTATGGTATTTCTGGAGTAACATGTCCAGGTATATTACACAGTATCATGATTTAAGCAGCAGTAACTTACAATGTTTCGGCCTCTTGTTTACAGAGCACAACTTGTTGAATTCAGCCCTTCACCCTTGCAATCTGTATTTAGCCCCCATTGCTTTAAAAACGTATTTTCAATGTGAAATGCAATAACATTTATGGGTACAGCAACAACCTAACGCATTAGTAACACCAAACACACGAAAAATATTCTGGGATGTTTACTTTTGGTCCAGGTCATCATGCTGCACGCTAGCATGCTGCAAGCTAGCATGCTAACTAGCAAACTACCTGCGCTAACGCTAACTAGCTTAACAAAAAGGGCCGTCTTTCCCGTATCGGGTGGGCAGCACAAGTAAAACACCCGGTTATAGTTCCATGTGTGCTTCATCCAAACACTCCCGTACTTACAGAGTAGTGGAGCCGGTAGTCGTGGTTCTATCAGCCCGTTCATGTCGCTCCGCTGCCGTAACTTCGCCTCGTCCGCTCGGAGCTCTGCAGGCGTCTAAGAACTCGCGCATGCGCGTTACAGATGTGAGCGGAGTCACGTGTTTACAAGTAATGTTTGAACCTGCCCGCATTATTATGCCTTAAACGCATCTTATTAACAGCACGCAGTCCGTAGTTTCATATTTATAACGTTTTAAGTGAAATATTAAATACGTTGAAATTACGTCTTCGCGTAGACCAAATTTCGCCGACCAGTTCATTAATTATTATGAAAATCTTAACGTTAATATCGTCTATCTTTCAACCTTACGTTACATCATGACACATTTGTCAACAAATTAACGTTTTCTGGCACGTTGATATTTTATCCCATTTTTAGCCGGTTGAAAAGACGTTGAAATGAGGTCTTAGACGTTCAGACCTCATTTCAACCCGATTTCAACCATATTTCAACGTTGAAATTACGTCTTGTGCTCACTGGGTTTACACAAACATCTAACCCAGTGAGCACAAGACGTAATTTCAACGTTGAAATATGGTTGAAATCGGGTTGAAATGAGGTCTGAACGTCTAAGACCTCATTTCAACGTCTTTTCAACCGTCTAAAAATGGGATGAAACATCAACGTGCCAGAAAACGTTAATTTGTTGATAAATGTGTCATGTTGTAACGTAAGGTTGAAAGAGAGACGATATTAACATTAAGATTTTCAGAATAATTAATGAACTGGTCGGCGAAATTTCGTCTACGCGAAGACGTAATTTCAACGTATTTACTATTTCGCTTAAAACGTCATAAATATGAAACTACGGACTGCGTGCTGTTAATAAGATGCGTTTAAGACATAATAATGCGGGCAGGTTCAAACATTACTTGTAAACACGTAACTCCGCTCACATCTGTAACGCGCATGCGCGAGTTCTTAGACGCCTGCAGAGCTCCGAGCGGACGCAGCACGAGGCGAAGTTACGGCAGCAGAGCGACATGAACGGGCTGATAGAACCACGACTACCGGCTCCACTGCTCTGTAAGTACGGGAGTGTTTGAATGAAGCACACATGGAACTATAACCGTGTGTTTTACTTGTGCTGCCGACTCGATACAGGAAAGACGGCCCTTTTTGTTAAGCTGGTTAGCGTTAGCGCAGGTAGTTTGCTAGTTAGCATGCTAGCTTGGAGCATGCGAGCGTGCAGCATGATGACCTGGACCAAAAGTAAACATCCCAGACATTTTTGTGCGTGTTTGGTGTTGCTAATGCGTTAGATTGTTGCTGTACCCATAAATATTATTGCATTTCACATTGAAAAAAATACGTTTTTAAAGCAATGGTGGCTAAGTTGCATTGCAAGGGTGAAGGGCTGAATTCAACAAGTTGTGCTCTGTAAACAAGAGGCCGAAACATTGTAAGTTACTGCTGCTTAAAGCATGATACTGTGTAATATACCTGAAAATTTTACTCCAGAAATACCATAAGTTGCAGATGAATTGTTATCTTGTTTATAATGTAATAAGTAAACCATCTATACATGAGTGTTCTAACACACCTGCTGCTGTTATTATTATTAGTTTATTACTGTCATCATAAACCCAAATTACCAACTTTGCCTTTGTGCTTTCCCTCCTCACAGGTTTCTGCGGGTGGTGGTTGCATCTGATGGAGGTTACGTCTGATGATGGTTGTCCCTGCACTGGTCCTGCCTTACCCCTGTCTTAATAATCCACAATATTAGAATCATTTATGTTGTAGGAATCGGATGTACTGTACATCTTTTAAGTTGTTCACACCTTCTTCCCTACTGTTTTCCCCTCAGGTTTCTCCAGGTTGAAGGTTTTTTACATTTTGGGGTTTAGGGGATAGGGTGTTGCATGTTTACAGATTGCAAAGCTGAACAAAATAAAATGATTTGAATTGAATAAACACGTTGACCAGAGGAATCTGCTCCGTGCACTCTGACTCCCTTTACACAAAGAATCCTCAAGTGAGGATGAGGGAGATGCAGCTGATTTCAGGTATACTATCCCAACTCAAGTGAGGCACATCTTGTTACAGAATCTATAATGAAGTTCCAATGATTCAGAAAAATGGTCTACAAACACAGAATTGTTGAACACAGAAATGTTGTTTCTGCACTTTTAATTCCATAATTTATTTTCCTGAAAAATATATTTTATTTCTGTATTGTTTTTAATTAGCAAAAGTGCTGTTATATGTATAGTGTTATATTTATAATAAATACAAATCAATAAAATAATGTGTTTGTCCTTGTTAAGGGATGTTAACATGACAACTGTGACTAAGTATGTAACTTGTACGTTTCCAGCGAGCAATTTATCCGTTGAAACAACGTTTAAAAGACGTCTGTGGCCCGACGTTGAAAAGAGGTTGCAAATTGGTTCAAAAGTGAAAGTTGTTTCAACGTCTATTCGTAGACGTTGAAAAGACGTTTACGTTTAGACCACATTTCAACCAGCGAGCATTTCAACGTTGAAAAGACGTTTAAAAGACGTCTATGGCCCGACGTTGAAAACACGTTGCAAAATGGTTTAAAAGTGAAAGTTGTTTCAACGTCTATTCGTAGACGTTGAAAAGACGTTCGCGTATAGACCCGTTTTCAACGTGATTTATACAAATTTGGACGTAGTTTCTTTTTAAACCTCTAAAATAATGATATAGCATACAAGAGAAGACGAAATATTACCGTATTAAAAAATCACGTTGAAATGTGGTCTAAACATAGACGTCTTTTCAACGTCTACGAATAGACGTTGAAACAACTTTCACTTTTAAACCATTTTGCAATGTCTTTTCAACGTCGGGCCATAGACGTCTTTTAAACGTCTTTTCAACCAAAAAATGCTCACTGGGCAGATTCGACGGTGCACGGTTACATTCGGTCTCGTTCAGCAGCTCGGTGTGCGGTTGACACGGTCTTGGTCTCCACGGTCTCTTCCGGTCATTTACATAGCGTGCACCGCATTTGTTAACGAGTAGGCTACACACGATTTCTAACCCATAGAAATATTCTGCCTAACTCCTAGATGGGAGTTGTGAATTGGTGGACCTAACCTAGCCTACCTAACTTGCCGTTAATTTTCATTCTGCAAGAGTTCGTTAACTTCTCAGTTATAGTGCAGGACAGGTCACCTCATGACTTAAATACGGTGCACTGCATTATAAACAGTTGTCATGCACAAAATAGCCTACTGCAAAGTGGTGTTTTGTAAACACAAACATTAAATAGCAAAATTATATCACAGCGTTTTATTCGATGCACTTATACATACAACGGCTCATGGGATTGGCTCTCCACGTTATTAGTACAGCATTCAGTAATTGAGACGCTCTCACGGTCACACCGCAACCGTGCTTCCACAACACTTCAACAACTCGGTTCAACTCGGTTGTTACGGTTCTTTTCTTCTTTTGTTTCTTGGTAGATGACTATCTATGTAGTATACCGCCACCATCTGTACAGGAGTCTCTTTAGGTTAAGTCGTGCGCAATCAAGGTAGCCCATTTCCTGATTGATTCTACCATCACTCCAGTGGAGGCACTAATGAGCTAGATTAGCCTACTACACACAGAAGGAGTGGTTGAAAACCGGGGTGAGTCGGTTCATTGACGTTTGGCACCCGATTCTCCCGGTTCAGGGACACGAATCGGGTTATTTAACCGGCTCTTCGGTCAGTTCGTCAACACTAGTGGCAGACAGACCTGAGCTGAAGGTGAACATCCTGTTTGAGAACGGTTGACGTGGGAACAATCAACAATGGTCTCTGAAACTATTCCAGAATTGTTTGTGTGTGATGAAAATAGATCAGATATTATTTTTTCAGCAGACTGTGTGAAAGGTGTGTGTGCGCGTGTTACCTGTTGTAAGGGTTTCTCAGCAGCAGCGCCTGGCTGCCTGTGCAGGTGTCAGATGGCGTGTGGCATCCGTAGACAGGTGGAGGTACGGGGTACTGCTGCTCCGCTGCGACACACGGACACCACGTCAAACATGGTAACACGCACGCCACCCAGGGCTGTAGGGGAGGGTAAACGCACGTAAACGCCGTTTACGCACCTCTGGAATTTTGGAAATAGCGTTTACGCACCTCTAAATAGCGTTTACCCACCTCTAAGTGGCGTTTACGCACCTCCAAGTTCCCTGCGCCTTGTATTCTTCCGTTAGAATATTCCGAAATAAACTTGGTGGAATTTTAAAATAGCTAAGACTATGTTTCCTATTGTTGAACATATAAACGCCGTAGTCTGAATCATTTTCATCTGCGCTGTATTGTGGTCTGTGTGCATCCAATCAGTGCCTTGCGGCTGCAGCAGCGACACCAATCAGGATCCAGGAGGTATGTAAACACATACACGTTGTGGATTAGCCTGGTGGTCCCCAACCTTTTTTACCTCACGAACCGGTTTCATGTCAGACAATATTTCGCAGACCGGTCGAGAAGGTCCGACGGGAGGGTGTAGTAGTCGTTGCGGGCATGACCGACGGGGGGGGGCGGCACGGGGACGGGGACGGCAGAGGTCACGGCGGAGACGTTAGGACAAGGGACAAGGCACTCCCTAGATGAGGGCCACGGGGCCGCCGTGCAGACGCAGCTGTGCACTCGCACACTGGCTTTACATAGAAGTGTGTTGCTATTGGGAGCGACTCTGATGGTGATTGTTGTTAGTTGAAGAAAAGTGACTCCTAAAAGTAAAGATGTAAAATGCAAGTATTTTTCAAATCTGACATGATAGCAAACAGAACTGATGTACAAAGGCACCATGCAGCAGCCAAGCCACATTTTGGGTTTAGAAAAAATGGCCGACAATGACTGACATCTGTTGTATTACTTTAAATTGCAATGAAGCACATTAGGTCGGACGTCGCACTTAACTGTGGAGATAGTGTGGGCTAGCTAGCGACTAAATCACAGGCTAAATGTGAATTATTGTGTGTTCTTGTGTTTTTTTCTTCAAATAGAAATTATTTGTATTTAAAAATGTGCCTTTTTTTTCGCTATTCCATGTCCCTAGATGAGGCAGTGGCTAAGTCCAATCATGAATGAGCAAAGCAGACGCATCAGTGGCGAGCTTGTGGAATTCACATATAAATCCCATATTAATTGTTTAAATTAATTGTATAAAATTGTAAATTAGTTTGGTTGTAATGTTTTTAATGGTAGTTCAGGAAACATTTATTGCCATAATATGTCAGACGCACAAGAAATTTGACTTGCCGGTTGGTGCATAACAGCAGACAGTACGACAATGGACGACAAGACAACAGTGCACGAGGAATAAAATAAAATATAATGCTATGGGTTAGTAGTATACGGCTATGGGTTAGTTATAAAATAAAGGAATAAAAGTTAAAGTTAAAAGTTTAAAAAAAATAAATAAATAAATAAAGTGCATCAGCGAACAGAAAATGACAAATGAAAGTGACAAGTGAAAAGTGCCAAGTGTTGTGTGCAGTGTGAAGTTTTTTTTTTTTTTTCAGGAATCAACCTAGCAACACGTATAATAAACACTTAATATTTTTTTAAACACACAAATTCAAATGGATAGAACGAATGCATCGAAAGAATGGGCTAAAAGAATCCAAATTGTTGGGACATATGTCTCTACGGTGATGCTATGACAATTCTTTCTTCAGAATACTAATATATACATACATACATACATACATATATGTATATGTGACACTTTTCTAATTAACTGCCACTGTATTTCAGAGGAGAGAAGAGTTAAATACACTTACCCATCGTACTTTGCTGGGTTAAAGCGCCTTCGTGCTTGAATGAATGGTTGGAGAACTGCGAGCTGTGGTGAGTAGGAGTGTGACCGTAATTACCGGCTCCATCGAATGCGACCGCGCTGTAGCCTGCGACAAAGGGAACCAAAAGCCAGAGTCAGACCAAAGTCCATCAGGGGTTACACATTACCTCATTAACACTGCAGCCAATCCTCGAAGGACATTTTAATTTAGCTAAAGCTACACGTGCTGGTGGGTTTTTTTCCTTTCCACCTGAATTTTAAAAAATCTACTTCAAGACGATTTTGATGGCATTTGTGTTAGTTATCGTGTTACTTTTTATTTTTGTTATGATTTGGTTTTTCGTTTGTCTCATTCCCTGTTTATTATAACAAATGCGTAGTAAGAAGTCCCGGCTGTTTTACAGTGTACAAAGTGGAGCAGGAGATTTAGATCCGTTCAAAGAGTCACAATAGAGTTTGGTTGCTTCTCCACAGAAAACTAAAAATACATTTGCAACAATATAGTTTAAAACATTGCAGTAAAGTGATTATGAAGTTAATTCTTATTGTTTTTTGAGCCATCTTGAGAGATTAATTAACCAAATTAATTAATCAGGTAAACGTGTTTCTAAATTACCTGGATCCTATATCATTGATTGTCTATTTTCTCGTGGTTGGAAATTTTATTTTACAGCCAAACGTATGTGAACTTTGTCGCAAAAAGAAAAGTGACAGATAGATCAGAGAGATGAAAGGACTTCTTTTCTTTAATTTGGTTGTATCATCTCACTAGGGCACACACACACACACACACACACACACACACAACATGGCTGACATCCCGGACCCAGACCCGACTCAGGACATAGACTGACCTACTGGGCACAATGCACACCCATCAATCACCCCCATGCACAGACACGCACACACACACACACACACACACACACACACACACACACACACACACACACACACAATCGCTATCTCTCACTCTCACATACATGCCTCATTAATTCAAATGCAGCACTCACTTTCCCCTGTGGATCATTGGGTGAGATGAGGGGGAAGGGCGGTGGGCTAAAAACCTCATTAAACATCTCCATTTATCTTCCACTCACCCCTGTCTGACACCTCTCTGCGTGTGTGTGTGTGTGTGTGTGTGTGTGTGTGTGTGTGTGTGTGTGTGTGTGTGTGTGTGTGTGTGTGTGTGTGTTTGTGTGTGGGTGTGTGTGTGTGTGTGTGTGTAGGTGATACCATAGTTGCCTTGAAGTCCAACACTGAGGAGACAAGCAATGAGGTCAATATGTAATTTGGAAAACCTAAAGTCTGGAAATACCACTAAAACGTTTCTAATTTTTTTCACAAACTGAAATAAAATGTTACTTTCGTCCTGACACCGTATTTATGAGAAATCTTTTTACTGGTTCTTGTGAAGCTCTACAGACCGGACGGTTTTGCATTTAAGAGCATTTCATTGTCTTCAGCAGGTTATCATGTCTTTGCTACTGTAAAAGCTTACTGAAGACCTGTAAAAACAGTTTTATCCCTAAAACAAATTATTCCTCCTCCAATAAATTACCAAGACAAGTGTTTTGTTGGCCCACAGCGACATGTGAACGCTTTTAGAAATATCCAGCTCCGGTATGAAAATGAATTCCCTCCTGCAGGGCCCTTACACAGTGACAGTCTGCGTGACCCTGTCCCGCTATCAGGCGCCCGCGTCCCGCTGTGAGTCTGTTTGTCTCTGCTCATCCAGCCACAGCGGGCAGCAGATAAAACAGGTTAGAGGTCGGCTCGGCTCTTTGATTGTAAAGTTATTGCGAATTATCTGCTTGATAAGCATGTTGTTATTAATTCGTCTGTTGGGAAAGCACCAACATATTTATTATGCCTGCACTAGAAAAGAACAGGAAATTGTGTGAACAAGCAAGAATAAGTAAATAAAAACAAAAAACACCAAATTTAACACGATTAAATTTAACTGTAGTTAACTGTAGTTAAATTTAACTGTGATCCCAACATGCGGTTTAACAATACCTTTTCAACGCAATTGAAATCCGATGACTTTGGAGTGCAAATGTGATGCTGCAGACTCTGATAATATATTAAAGCATTTACTCAAACTCAATTATCACAACGCAATTCAAAAACAAAAATTTGAAAAACTATGTAATGAGAGTTTATTTTGTAAAACAGCGTCTATGTTTTTTCATCTATTAAATGTGTTCAGTAACTGATACTTGATGGATCCTTTTTACAAATATGGAGATCTCTTTCTTAGAAAACACTACTATGCTGTACAAATGTGGAACAGTCTAAAATGTGAGAAACACCAAACGGATAAATTAGGATGAACTCAGCAATGCATCAATAACCTTTTCTTTTTTCCTTTTGATAACATCCGGGTAGAAATATATGTCCATATTCTCTGCTGTGTGATACCTCCTGTGTGATATGTTTTTAAATTAACAGTAAACTAAAAATCACCTCTCAAAACTGTTTGGTTGTATCTGAGCTTTAATCAGCTTGTGGTTTGTTGTTCAGCAGCTGATGTAGCTGTTTTCTGTTCATTAAGAACGATCTTTCTCACCTTATCATTTACAAGAGTTTTACATCAAATCCAGAGCTGGGAATAAGTTTATTTTTAAGTTGCACAACAAAAGAAGAATCATCACGGCAACTCAGAGTCAAAGAGAGTGTGTGTTTATGGTCGAGCTTTGTTATCTAAGGTATTAACGGTCCATCCACACTGAGAGCACTCAGCGTATCTTCTGTTCGGACGTTAACACTAAACTAAAAGACACCTTCATTTCCTGTGAATGTCTCAGCTGCATCTGCTGTTTACAAAAGCATGTTGGAGTCTACTTATTATTCAATTTTCATCTCCGTTTTCACCACGGACTCATGCGGTGCTGAAGGAAAGGGTGAAGTCAGGCCTCCGGTCGTCAAAGGCAACATCTCGGCCAGTTTGAACCAGGACATTGCTTCATGTTGCAGGTGCGAGTGTAAAGTGACGTAATGTAAGTCGCTTTGGATAAAAGCGTCAGCTAAATGACATGTAATGTATTGTAATGACGTGACTGAATCCCTCGTGCTTCAGATTCACGTCAGGTGATGGTTGATGGCTGACAGAAGTTGAAGTGGATTTAAGATAAAGTCCAATTAGTATTGAAAAGGGAACTTTTGTCGTCAACACTAAGAGTTTTGTGGAGGAAAGGAAGCCAAAAACTGCACAAAACGATATTTGTGACATATTTTAAGATTTATGGCCTCATTTGCCAACCGCTCTAGAAATTAAATTCCTTCTTAAAACAGTTCTCTTGAATATTTGAACATTCCCTAATGTTATAAGATTAACCTCGTTTTAAGCAGTGCATGTAGGAGCGCACATAGGAACATTTCAGGGCCAACGTGTTTAAGCAAGTAAATTGGATATTGTGTTTTTGTTAATTGTACAGTATTATATTATCATAGAATTTAAATTGAAATATTATTTTTGGATGTGTTATTTTGCCATCTTTATTTCCATTATTTTAAAACGCTGGTCTATTTTTCATTGCTTGAAAATATATTTAATTAACATCCATTTCTGCTTTTTTTAAAAGCTTCATGATCTTTTATTGGCCAAACGGTGCGATTTAAAACAACGGTTTGCTTTCACCTCCTACAGAAGTCCTTTTGGAGTTCTGTGCTGGTCCTCCCTCGACTGACTCTATCAGCTTGTCTTTCTTTCTGTGTGCCCACCCCCCGCCCCGCTGTCCCGTGCCCTTTAATGTGGATTGGTAAGGTGTTTACTTAAGCTTATCAGAGGATCAGCTGTAACGGCCTTTAGATTTACGATGACTGGTGTGAACAATACTGAGAGTCACGCTGTAAATCTGACGCCCGCTTTCCTCAGGACCTTTCTGAAGAACAAATTGGAGAAGAAAGAATTAAAGTTATTGGCGAATGAGTCCCCGGCTCCTGATGAGGCTGACTTGCCAAAACAGACCAACAACAAATTTGGCAGCATGGTCCGTATCACGGCAATGGCCTTCAAATTGACCCCAACACCAGGGGCCACATCGACACGGCCCTCGTTCCAATAAAGGCCGAAAGGCCTCAGACTTCCCTTGGGCCCTACCTGTCTGGTTGCGTCCCCCCTGCTGCGTGTCCATGCAGTTGGTCAGGTACGGCGGAGTGCTGAACATCCTCCCGGGGGGCTGGTGGTGGTGAGGTGCCGCCACGGACGGTGGCTGACTCGGGGGCGGCGGAGCCCCGAAAGCCCCGTACCTGCAGGCCCCGGTGCCGGTGAACTGGCCGGAGAAGTGGACGGTGAATGCACTGAGGCCGCAGTGGGGGTCGGCTTCGTGATGGTGGGGGTCACCGGCGGCCGCCCAGCTGGGCTCCTGCTTGATGAAGGAGTGCGGCCCCAGTGAGGTGTGCGGGGCGGTCAGGGAGGCGTGCGGCGTGGGCAGGGAGGAGTACGGGGGAGGCGGCGGTGTGGAAGTCCAGGACGGGGGCCCACTGGGGGGCCGTGCTGACGGGCAAGGCCGGGCATCCGGGGCTGGGGCACGCCGGGAGCGGGGGCAGCAGGGAGTTCAGGTCGCGGACGTCTGAACCCATCGTGGTCCAGGGGAAAAAACTGGGATAGAGGTTGGCTATTTTTTAATCAGATCTGTCACGCCCGCCTGTGTTCGGCTCGCCCCAAAACCCAAATCAATCCTCGAGGGTCGAGAAAGTCTCTCACTGAAAGAACGCGTCTCCTCTATGGCCCTCTGGAACTGTGTTTCACCCATCGACTGTTCACGCCGCCTAATCTGGAAACTCCTTAAATCCGAGAGAAGTTCATGGTCGAAAAACAAAAGTCGAAGGAGTCACCTTTTGTAAGAGGAGCACAGCAAGGAGGAGACGGATGAAGCGTGATCAGTTAAGATGCACACATAAAAATATTCAGTCCACTCATGGGGGAGAGAGAGAGAGGATTCTTTCCTTACTGAACGGAGAAAGAGGAATGGAGGAGTGAAGGAGGAGTAGCCCTCTTTTCCCTCCATGCTCTCAGCCCCCGTCTTGGGTGTGTGTGTGTGTGTGTCTTTGTGTGTGTGAGGAGGGTTGGAGGTGGAGTCAGAAGGTGATGAGGGACAGGACCCCCCCCACTTCATTAACTTACTGTATGCAGAAGACACACACATTCACACAGTTGGAGGAAAATAAATCACAATTCGGACATCACTTCTGTGAAACTAAAATAAAAATCCATCTCTTCATTCTCAGCTAATATATAGATATAGATACATACCTCATATACATACATACATACCATATATATATATATATATATGTATATAATACATAATGTTTCATATTGTAGGTTGTAAGAAAAACATGCCAAGGAATTTTATAAGCGTGTTAAGAAAAAATATTCGATGAATACTTTGTTGTTTCATGAGGTCAGACAGCTGTAATCTTTTTTAATCCCCAAGAGGTTGAATATTCCTAAATAAAGCTTTTTTGTATGTGCGTCATAAAGGCCCCACGTGAGTTTATCGTTTTTAATGATGAACTGTCAAACACGCAATTTTACGATATTTGAAATGAACTGAATTAAGATCCTGCGGTGGAATATTCTTATGATTAGTTAAACGCTACAATCCACCTGGACTGAGGTGAGAAACGAGACCCGGCCACGCGCAGGAATATGTTTTCAGACAGAAATCCAATTTAAAACTTGGAAAAGTTGCTGCAGTCTTTTCGATCTACCAACACGTTTCCTCCAACATAGATCGTATAGTATTGTTCTGTTTTTCTCAGTGTCATTTTTTAGGTGCCAAAAGTAAAAATGACAACGTAATGTAATTTGTTAACAGGTTAACAGCCAGTCGCAGATGACGGTTCATCTGGCGGATTCAGGCTACAAGGCCTTCGGTCCTTTTTGGTTTCATTCGTTGTTGTTTTTTTTACATGTTTATATTTTTGTTAATAAAATAAAGAAACGGTAAAGGCGGGAGAATAGCCTCAATAAAAGCCAGAAACCGTCACATCTTGACCAGTGTAAACCTCGGGCTTATTTTAAAGGTCCGCAGTGAGTGTCAATTAAATAGTTCTAAAGAGATAACCACCTACACTGACTTATTTTAAAACTTTGCAATATTATAAACCACGCGAAAAATATTATTAGAAGCCCCTTATTTTTTTTGCATCGTTGTTATTATTGTATTATCTTTATAATCATCATCAACATCGCGCGAGTACAACCATTCATCTCGTACTGTTCATAAACTCCGTTTCTGTGTGTGTGTGTGTGTGTGTGTGTGTGTGTGTGTGTGTGTGTGTGTGTGTGTGTGTGTGTGTGTGTGTGTGTGTGTGTGTGTGTGTGTGTGTGTGAAAAATCAAATATAAAAGACTTACAGACTTTACCATACTGTTAAAATTAACAGTGACACACAATAATAACATTTCATAATTTATTTATTAAAGTGCGCGAGCTCTTAAAGAACATATTTTAAATTAAATGATGCCCCCGTACAAAGTCAAGTTTCACACGGCTGAGTGGATTCGTTCCGCACTTTAAAATCAATATGACTCAACATTATGGTATGACTTCATAGTCTATAATAATGTGAATATTATTGGGGTTTTTTATCACTTTAAGGAGAGCAGCTCTCCTCCCCTTCTCCCTTCTGAAGCGCTGTCTTCCTTTTTCCAACACGTCACAGTGGCCCTCTGGAGACCTGTTGGTGACCCTGCAGCCATAAGTGAAGCTAGAAGGTTCAACTATGATGAAGCATCTTCAATGGGACAGGCCAAACAAACAATACACTTCGTACAATCCGAAAATAGATTTTTATTGAAGAGTATTATTCAGAATGTATTTTGATTTCTCTCCCAAAGTACCAAGTCACCATTTTAACGAGAATTGCGAACTACTTTTTCATTTTCTATGCGTAGATAAAAACATGACTCGCTCACTAATGAACATGGACTGGGGAGCCGCGTCAGCCCGATGCTTCAAGATGTTGTGAGTGTAATTGACAGGCCTGTTTGTTAATTAAGGTTACTGTGACACGGGCAGCCTGTCCAGTTAACTTGAGACGAATCAGCTCGCCGGATTAGAAAGGCAATGAGGTCACATTTCTGATGTCAGGGGACTTTGTGGAGCTGATTTTGGCTGTCTCTGTCTCTTGGAAACAGCCTAAACATCCAATTGTGGGCAGAAAAAGGAGCCAAGCTGGCTCTCTGTGATTGGCTGAGACACTCGTCAATCAAGGCCGTCATGTCCGCTAAACATAGTTCACTAAATGTCTTTTTTTTTAAATTGCCTTTCATGGACAACAGTTTTTTCAAAGACAAAATGATGTAACCAGACCGGGTTACACGTTCCCATTGAACACAGGATCACATTAATGTTTTCTGACCTTTCCGTCTTTCAGTTCCTATGTCGATATGTTCTTCTTGTGTGTGTGTGCGCGCGTGTGTGTGATGTCGTTGAGCGATGCCGCTGCTTCTGATCTCCCATTTAATCTTATCTCTCTTTCTCTCTGACTGATGCTCCTGGTTTTGCCAGCTGTGTCGTGGCCACGGCAACTACCAAACACGCGCACATACACACACACACACAGCGCAGACACGATTCTCACTTACTCTCACTTCGCCAGGAAATCAATTTTTAATAACCAACACAAATGGCTGTCACGCTGTAAGAGAAGCTCACATTTGGGAAAAGCAAACCGGACTGAGACGGAAACACAATCATCAAAGTTCTTAGAGTGGAACAGCTGGACCCATTTGGTCATCAGTGAAGACAGAAACTTTATGGAACACGTCCTCCAACTTGAACATGATGTGGAGATTTTCTCTTTTGGGAAACGTTTGGGTTTTACTGCAAGCACGTCTGCGTTACCATTCAAGACGAATGGACGCTCAACAAGAGGCCAAAGACGCTGGCCGGCTGCCACTGGTGGAGGCAACCCCCCACCTCCCTTCATCTTAAAGGAAGTGTCCACTCAGCGCTTTTCTTCCCATCATGCTCTTCCCCTGGAGCCAATTACAGCTGTGACACGTCTCAATTTGTTTTAAATATTGGCTCACCGGAACATCAGAGGACGCAGGCAGAGTACGGTTAGATGGCAGAAGTGTGTTGTCTAGCAATTACAGTTATTGTGTGTATGTGTGTGTGTGTGTGTGTGTGTGTGTGTGTGTGTGCGTGTGTGTGTGTGTGTGTGTGTGTGTGTGCGTGTGTGTGTGAATGTGTGTGTGTGTGTGTGTGTGTGTGTGTGTGTGTGTGTGTGTGTGCGCGTGTGTGTGTGCGTGCGTGTGTGTGTGAATGTGTGTGTGTGTGTGTGTGTGTGTGCGTGTGTGTGTGCGTGTGTGTGTGAATGTGTGTGTGTGTGTGTGTGTGTGTGTGTGTGTGTGTGTGTGTGTGCGTGTGTGTGTGTGAATGTGTGTGTGTGTGTGTGTGTGTGTGTGTGTGTGTGTGTGTGTGTGTGTGTGCGTGTAAGTGTGTGCGTGTGTGTGTGTGTGTGTGTGTGCGTGTGTGTGTGAATGTGTGTGTGTGTGTGTGTGTGTGTGCGTGTGTGTGTGTGTGTGTGCGTGTAAGTGTGTGCGTGTGTGTGTGTGCGTGTGTGTGTGCGTGTGTGTGTGAATGTGTGTGTGTGTGTGTGTGTGTGTGTGTGTGTGCGTGTAAGTGTGTGCACGTACCGTATGTGATTGCAAGTATAAGTTTGGGTGTATTTAGCAGAGATAAATGATAACTTCACCATCTGGAAATCTAGTCCGTCTTTCTTCCTCTCTCTCTCTCTCTCTCTCTGTCTGTGTACAAAGAACTGCTGATCCATGATTCAACTCTTCAACTCCACGAGGAACACAGAAAACCAGAGAGAGAGAGAGAGGTGAGCAGGAAATAGTGTTAAAAGTGCTTGTCAAGAGCAGAAGAAGTCAGACCACTTTGTTCGGCCGTCAACGAGGGTCCAGTGAAATAAGAATGAATGTGCACATATCCGCGAACACTCTGGGACGCCGTGCACACGCACACACATGTAGTCTGCTTGCTGTTTTACTTGCACACATGACTTATGTTGTTTCCCTCAGAGCCAGACAGTGGCTGACATGTGGGGAATAGAATATATATGTTGTTTTAATGAAGTGCGAGCGTGTGTTACTGACATGCAACTCCGTCTGCACTGTACGCAGTGTAAAAGGTGCAACTAGATGTATAAATGTGCATGGGACAAGTCTGATTTCAGCAGCCTCAAATTAAGCCAAGTGAAGCCAATTTGGAGGTAAGGGGCTAGTATTTGGCAGCATCTAACCAACTGAAACTTGTCCCGCGTTGAAGAGCTAGAGTGGTTCACACAGAAGTGTGAATGGCCCTAAAGCCGTCTAAAGCCAGTGTTTGGTTGGTCCGTTGTAGGCTACCATAGAAACAGGGGCAGCAAAACATGGCGGTGCAACACAGTAAACTCAGCGGAGACCTGTTCCGTATATCTTTCTAAAGTTAACAACAACCAACACACTAATGAAAACACAGATTATATTCTTTTGCCCTTTAAATGGAAGGGAGCCGTGGTAAATGCTACTGTTGTACATCGTCAGGATTCTACTGAGAACCTTTCAGTAACTTAGTTGAGCAAAAGACGTGTTTGTGTCTTTTGTCCCGTTTTTCTTGATAAATTCACACGGATCCATCATGATAAGCCCTGTGATCTCTGATAGGACACAGGAGAGAAATAAACCAGCAGTACCAGTCACACGCTGGATCAGTCCACTGCTCCTCTGTCTTCAGATGTTCTTTTCTCTGTCTGATCCTATTTCTTAAAAAGGGTAAAACATAGGCACAGAAACATACAGGAGTAGAGAGACAATTGCACGGCGCTCCACTCTGCGTATTAACGCGGCTGCCTTCCGTCCCAGAGGAGTACTAAGGCGTCTGACCAGTCAACCAATCTAGTTTCGTGATTGATGGCCCCCACGGCCGATGGAACACATTCCTGCAGAATGAACAACAAATATCTTCAAATGAAACGCCCGCT